GGCCCTGGCCGCCCCGTCCTGCGCAGCTCTGCGCTCCGTCCCGGCTCCGCCGAGGACCACCGTCTTCGTGAGCCAACAGCGAAACCGCCACGAGATTTGCACTGCGACTTCCTGAGGCAAAATACAGCGGTGGCCTGCCTCGAAACCCCGCTCCAGAAACAGCGTTGTTTCCAGAGCCGGGATAGCCGTGCGGCGGGAGAGGAACCAGAAAGCCGCTGACAGCGAAAACCGGCCTTTCCCCCTGTCCCGTCAGTCAGAGCCTAACCCAAGCAACAAGGGAAAAGTGGCAGGAGAGTAAAATACACAAAGAACATACTTTGCCTCTGTAAATAGCGCCCATGCTCAACTGTCTCCAGACCAATCATTATTAACTAATTATTTTGCGATGTTTGAGAATAGAAACAGGCCTTTGCAGGGTTTGGAAGGAAGATTATCTGGTTTTTCACAGTTAGGTGTCGTGCTCTCAGCTCTTCATTGTATCTTTCTGTTTTCTCATGTTTGACAGATTTAAGAACTATTTATTTTGTGTTAGAACAATGCATAGCACAATGAAACCCTAATGCCAGCCTAAACATAAGTAATACAAATAAAGAGCAAGTCATGTCAAATATTTTGCTTGCTTTTCAGTGGAAAATTAGGAAATGGTGAACAAATGTTTTCTGGCAAAATGTTGGCAGTTGTCTACCCCTGCCGGAGCTTTATAATCATCGGGAGTATCTTTCTGGGTTTTATTTCCTGCTAGCAGGTGGTGCATGCCCTGTGATGAAGCCTTGCATCACGATGCACCAGAATGAGAAGTATAAAACTGGAATAGGACATGTACTGCACCTATGCAGTATTTCCAGTGGGGATTTTCCCTGGCTATCCCTGAAGAGAGAGGTATGCAGCAGCTCGGGCTAAGCACAGAAAGGAAAAGGTTGCAAGATCCCAGAATCCTGTGACTGGTGAATGGTGAGACCTTATCATGTAACTGTGTGCTTCCATCCTTTTTACCACATAAATGACTACAACAGATTTTTCCTGCTAAAATACAAGTTCACTAAACATTTTAGAGAGCTCTTGTGTATTTGTGTACATGCACACTCACCCCTCAGTAGGGATTTTGCTGCCTGTCCCCGAGATTACAGAGGCAGGCATGTGTTGGCTCAGACTGAGAATGAAAAGGAGCCCACTGGAGAAGGTTACAAAGCCCTTTAAAAAGTAATGGCCACTTTTGCTGTTTTCCAACGTATAAAAAGAAAATATGTTCATCTTGTTAGTATTGTTTAATGGTAGACGGTAGCTAATTGTACTTAAGAAACTATCTTAATTATACACACCCAAGTGTTTCTTTTGAGATCCTTATCAGGTAGAAAGCATTAGAGTGACCACAGGCTGGAGCTTTTACATACGGCTGCTGTAACCATCTGAATTGTGCTAGTGATTGTTGTCTTCTCAATCCTAAAGCAACTGGAAAAAGAATGATGGGAGTAAAGGGTTGCCAGCTTCCAGTCTCATCTTGATGGTCAGCAGCGGTCTGGCTTTGCTTGCTGGAAGTACAGCTTCGAGCACGGACAATGACATGTGCTCTTTTTCTTGCTTCAGAGCTGACGGGTACTTAGAGAAGAGCTGTTTGACAAAGTGCCAAAGCAAACTGAAACATCTTTTGAAGGATCACATCATAACGAAGCCTTTGGATTTGACCAACATCTAAATTCCCAAGCAAAACCAAAAAATATTTCTTTTTGTAATGCCTGAGCTTTACTTTCGATATGAAAAACTAATTTCACTTTCTAAAGAGGCCATTATTACTAAATTTTCACTTTCTGAACAAGTATTACTACTAACAATTTAAAACAAATGTGGTTGAGGGTTAAAGACTCGATCAACCTAAGTCAGCCCGAACGTCAACAGAGCAAATGACGGTTCTGTTGCAGTTGATGCAGCGATTTATGCAGAGAGCACTTTGGAGTTCAGTAAATATAGTGTGATATCTATACAAAGTGCATAACTGTGGTAGTGAAGGGCCAGAGCCAATGGGAAGCTGAAGTGCAAGGCTCTGAAAATAAAATGGGAAATGGTAACTAAAATGGGAGGTCACAGTCTTGCTCCATATCTTACTGTGAACCCCGGTGAGGTTCCCTTGTTGACTCTGTGGCAGCAGATAACAGATCAATTAAACTCAGAACATAACAAGATAACATGCTTTATTCTTACAGTTACGCAAATGATATTGACACACTTAAAAGAATGTAAGTAAAAGCAAGATAAGCTTCTGTCTCCACAGAAATAAGGCAGAAATAAATGTCTGATTAGATTGCTGTTTCTATATATTTATTCTTATACTGCAGTTGTGCAGTATTAAGAAGACCTTATGCACAAGTGCAATGATATAAACTCTCAAGTGCTCTTTATTAATGAATAATGAATGTATATTATTAGTAGCGCTGCTAAAAGAAGAAGGAAAACATGACAGTAGAGTGAAAAAGTGGAACCCTAGCAGTTCTCTTCAGCTTTCTGATTCTGATTAGATTTGTTTTGGTATGGCTTTTTGTTAGTATCTAAGCAGCTTTTTCTCTGTGACAATGTTTATGTTAGAAATGTCAGGAACAAAATTAGTAAGAGGCAAAGTCAGAATGATGTATTATATTCAACAATAAAAAAGATGAAACAGAGGTTTATCTAGTGGTTTGTCTGCCCACAAAACTAAAACTTTCAAGGCATGTGAACAGTTTTATTTTTGCATTGTAGTTGTATTCTGCAATAACTATATTGTAGCCCAAAGTCAGATGCCGGTGGAATGAATTTCAAGAACAGCATCAGAACTCATCCAAATTTAGAGCAGGTTCATGCAATGCATAGCCCTATCACATGTAGACTCATAAACATGTGCATATCATATACAGCAGAATATATCTCACGTGTATATATGGATTTCTTACGTAGAGTCCTGAGACAACACAGCAGAGTACCACTGGCCGCACTTCCTTCTGTATACTGGGGAGGGGGACAACTCCATGTGCACCTCTTCCTGCCCTACACGCTTTCATTTTGCACCTCTATATCTCTTTTCACACAGATTTCATCATCTTGGTTTTGCTCCATGATACTGTTATTGAAATG